CGCAGCACCAGACGACCAATACGTCCAAATCTGTCCAGGGACAAGGGTGGTGAGGGCTGCCCTCAGAATTCTTGTCCAGCAGGCAGAGGAGGGGATGGGAGAGGAAGGTGTGAAGGCTTGGGTGGGAGCCCTCAATCTGGGGAAGAAGGCCACCCATGGGTCGCCATTATCTCTTGCCCAGATGACCTCCCCAGCCTCATAACCTTTTCCTGCTACCTCTGCCCATCCATCCCCTACCCCCTAGTTCCCACCTTGTAGCTAGATGGAGCTTTTAAAACGGGCAGGTAGGTGATGCCTGTTGGCCTGAAACCTCCTCATCTATCACTAAAACAAGATCCCAGCTCCTTAGCGTGGCCTACCAGCTCCACTGCTGGGCTTCCCACCTCCCTCCCTCCTCGTCCCTGCTTGTTCTTCACTAGCCACACTGACCTTCCGGCTGTCCTGGAAGACACGAGCTTGCCCCCTCCACCCTAGAGCTGTTGCTTGTCCGTCTGCCTGGAAGACTCCCCAGCAAGCTGCACAGTTGACTGCCTTTGGTCATGCAGGTCTTACTCCCGTGTCACCTCCCGAGGCCTCCCTGACCATCCTAGCTAATGCTTGTTATCCCATCGAGTTCCATGCTGTTCAGCACACGCCACTCGGCTGTCCTGTTTGTTTGATTATTGTTTTCCCCACCAGGCTGTGGGCTCTCTGAGGGCAGGGGGGCCCTGTCTGCCTCGTTCCCTGGTTTGTGTCCGGGGGCAGCAGAATGACAGCACTCCTGTGAGCAATGTGGACAGGCCCCCAGAGTGCAGCCAGAGGGGGGCCTGGGGCCCTCAGGCGTGAGGAGCAGCTCGGGGCCAGGGCAGAGGCTCACCCATTGATGCCAACAGTCAACTCCCGGGTCACAGAAGGCTTCACAGCTGCTGGTGGTGGTGGCGGGGGCTCAGCTTGTACATGCTCAGTGACTGGCTCCATTGTGGGCTTGGGCTCAGGCTGGGGCTCTGGCTCTGCCTTGTCTTTGGGTTCAGGTAGGGGCGGTGCTCTGGTTACTGTGGAGGAGGAAAAAAAAAAAAAAAAACTGTTGCGGTGGAGGCGATTCTGACTCACAACGACCCTGTGGGACAGGGTAGAACTGCCCCATAGGGTTTCCAAGGAGCGGCTGGTGGATTCGAACTGCCGACCTTTTGGATAGCAGCCGAGCTCTTAACCACTATGCCACCGGGGCTCCTATGGGGTGGGGGAGGGAAGGGGGGGCAGGGACGATGAACTGCCCAGTCAGGGTGAAAGAGCTGCCACCCAGAACCTGCTGCTGGTTCTTGGTCCTAAGTGGGCAATGGTCCAGCCCAGTGTTTGCAGCCTACCTGATCCACAGAATGGGAGGGGAGGGGCAGGCGTGTGTTAAAGTATCAGTGCCAGGGCTAGTCCTCTGGAGAGTCTAATTCAGTGGGCATGTATTGTTAACAATTGTTCTGGGTGATATTCTGTGTGCCTCAGTTTCTTGCTCTATAAAAATGGCAATAATAGTACCTGTCTCACAGAGTAACTAGGAGAATTACCAAAAAACAAAAAAAAACAAACCACTGCCCTGGAGTCAATTCCAACTCATAACGACCTTTTAGGACGGAATAGAATTGCCCCGTAGGGTTTCCAAGGCTGTAAATCTTTACAGAAGCAGACTGCTACATCTTGCTCCTGTGGAATGGATGGTTGGTTTGAACTGCCGACTGAGTGCTTTAACCACTGTGCCACCAGATTAGATGAGGTAATATACCTGGCAAAAGAAGACCCTCAACAAGATGGATCGACAC